CCCACACAGCAAAAGCAAAATACCCACCTAAAAATGAAAATGAACAGAATGAGAAGAGAGAAGAACACAGCCACATTGTCCATGGTCCGCAGCATAACAAACAGCTGGCGTCGAAGCTGGGGCATGAACCGAACCAGCTTCAGGATGCGCAGCAGGCGGAAGGTCCTCAGCACAGACAGCCCCGATCCCTGGCCGGCCTGCTGATCCGCGTGCGACGTCGTGTAGCTCTCGTACATCTCAACGACGCTGCGTGGGAACTCGTCATCAGCGAAGGGTTGGGAGAGAGACTGATGGCGGGTTATGACTCGTGACTGTGGCAAGGATGGCGATCATGAAGATGACTGAGGAGGAGGAGGATAAGGGTGGCATGACTGTGATGAAGTTGAGGATGATGGCGATGATAAAGATGACTGATGACCATGATGAGGATGAGGATGGTGGTGATGCAGACAACTGATGAGTATAACGAAGATGAGGATGAGGATGGTGGTGATGCAGACAACTGATGAGTATAACGAGGATGAGGATGGTGGTGATGCAGACAATTGATGAGCATGATGAGGATGAAAATGCTCATGATAAAGATGGTTGACAACCAGGATGAGAATGAGGATGAAGATTCTGATGATACAGGTGAAAACCATGATAAGGATAAGAATGGTAATAGTGAAAAGGCTAATGTGATGATGAACATGCGGTTGTCAATTATGATGATGATGAAGCACAAAAGCATTAACATATCTGAAAATCATCAGGTAGCAGATCTTCCTGAGAGATGAACATCGTTTACATTTGAAAATAATATAATATATTGTAATTTTCATATTGGAAGCTGAAGATCTGAAACGAAATGTACTTTTTACCGTTGCTCTGACTGTTTGACATCAAACACAGGCAATTACGAACAACGTCTATTTTATACTGACTGAGTGTGAAAGGGGTGGGAAGTAGAAACAAGCATATCTGTATGTTACAAAAAACGAACTACATGTTAAAGAAAATCGGTTTACATAAAAATGCATTCTAGTGCAGCACTTTCTTCTATTGAGCTTTGAAGCTCTCCCATGACTCTGATCTTAAGCATCAAATCTACGACTTTCTATTCTAGTCAACATGGTTACCTTAGAATCACAATAACACCATCAAAGACGTTGAAGCCATTACTGATGTAACCAAAAGGCCCTTCAGCAATAACTTTCAGCAGCATTTCCAGAGCGAAAACTGCTGAAAAAATGATGTTGCTCGTCTCCACGATGGTTGTCAGTATCTCGGGCTGTGATAGAGTAAAGCCTGTCAGATTGTAGCTTTGCTTTCAACAATACTTTGTCTTTCTTTGGACTTTCGTTGAATGAATAAGTATTTCATATCGAAATCATTAATGCTGAATTTATCAATCTAAACTCTAAACCTAACTTGCCAAGGTTTACTGCCACATGAGTCATTCTATTGTCATCTGAGACGCTAGAAAAGACAAGCACGTTCCCTTACCTGGTTGTGGTACTCGACGCCCATGCTGAGAGTGTTGATGAGAATGGCCACCAGGATCCCTCGCTGGAAGTAGGTGTGTTCCACCAGCTTCTTGATGTATACTCGCAACTTGGAGAAGAACCTGCGCAATGGCGAGGGCGGGCCACTCCGCTCCTCTTCACTCCATTCCTCGTCACTCCAGTCGGAGTCGGAGTGACAGGAGTCTGAGGCCGAGTAATAGCCTGAGAGTCCTGCAGGCGCTTGGTCTGCTGAGAAAAATAACGTAGGAGCAGAGAAATGTTTGACACCTTTGGCAAGAGAAGAATACAATGTGTGCACAGAGCGGGAATCGATGCCCAAGTGCGTGGGCAGTGCCGCCGAGAGCGCGCCACTTAGTGCTAATAGTTCGCCACATGTGAGTGAGCCCTTACCACCTGAGCCATTATACGAAGGTGTGCGCGACACGGGCCGCAGGGAAGACTTGGTCTTGGCAGAAGGTGCGAGCGTCGGAGGAAGCAGAACCGAAGGCAAGAGTGAAACGGGGGGGCCCGGCGTGTGAGGGGAGGGGGGCAGAGGCTCACGGAAGTAGGCTGGGTCCAGCGGCTCGTCGTCGGTCTGCGTCGTCTTCTCACTGTGGCAGACGTTCTTGGTGGCGGTCTCGCCCGCGTGGCCGTGCAGGAGCACCACGTCACTAAACATCACAGAGCTTCGTCTTCTGTGCCGGGGAGTGCAGGCTCCTGCGGGTGATGGGGGCACCAGCTCATTGTTCCCTTCACCGCTAGCACCACTGGGGATCATGAGGAGGACCGGGCGGTGAGGGGACGTCTGAGGGTCGACTTCAGACACCTCTGGGCTAGCGCGAGGGGCGCTATTGTTTCTACTATCCTCCTGGCCCTCGTTAACCTCTGGGGGCGACAAAAGCTGAGGACTCGTGGCGGTGACGTTATTCATTACGGTGAAGCCCCCGCCAGGACCCACTCCCCCGGCGACGCCCGTGGGCATGGTTACCACGGTGCTCGGCGTCAGGTGGCCTCCCGGCTCGCGCGTCAAAAGCGCGTGTTGGGCGAGCACATACTGCCGACGGCGCCGCTGCTTCTTAAGGCTTAATTGCCGCGGGTGCTCAGATCGGTGGCGGCGGCGGAACTGTCTATAGCGGGAGTACAGCTTTCGTCTCGCTCGTCTGTACAGGTGGGCGATGTACTTGATGATCTCGGCGTAGCATGAGTTCGGTTCCGACATGGAGCCCGACGCCAGAGTGCTCGTCGAGTGGAACCGAGCTCGCTCCATCTTCATCCGCTCCATCTCGCGCTTCTTCGTCTCCGAGAACTGCGTGGCGATGACGACGAGACACAGGTTGATCAGGAAGAAGGACCCGATCTGAGGGAGGGAGGGAGAGTCAGAACCATATCTATAACTTTTGTGTGACTGTTTTATCAATCGCTGAAGTGGATATACTGTAAACTATAACTGCAAAACGATATATTGAACCTTTAATGAAACGATAGTAACTAAATCATAGGGTATGGATGAAAACGTTGATGAATAGCACGGACAAGAACAACAAAACTGTTAACAATCATTGCAAATACAAATGTTTTATGCGAGTGAAAGTCTGCACGTGTGTGTCTCTGCGAACTATTCTCACTTTTCAATTGCATTCCAAATTACTGCGTTTGGTGTCAAATTGAACTTTAAATCTACTTTACTGGTGCAACGTTTTTTTCAAATCACGTTAAAAATAGAAAATAAAATATACTGCAGCACGAAATTGCTCTTCAGTTCCTTTAATTAGATTCTGCCCAATAGTTTACTACAGTCTAAATATCTTTACGCTCTTCTGTAATGGAATATTCCTGGGGTATCAAAATCTTGGAAATTGTAATCAATGAGAGTTAAAGGAAACGAGGAAAACATGAAACGGTAATTTTCAAATCACACAATTTCCTCTCTATATAATTTTAGAAATCTTACATACACGCTCAAGGAACTAAAATTAAAAGCCTACATATAATTTATAACTTAAAACAGTCTAAAAATGGAGAAAAAAATCTTACCACAATGAGTAGAACAAAATAAATCCAATCCCAGAATGAATGTGCGTCTTGAACATAGTACATGATGTCCGTCCAGCCTTCTAAACTGATTACCTGCAACAAAGAAATCAATTACTGTCTTGTTTACTTACTTAGGGTCCGAGCTGCATAACTTGATTTTTTTAGTGTGTGTGTGTGTGTGTGTGTGTGTGTGTGTGTGTGTGTGTGTGTGTGTGTGTGTGTGTGTGCGTGTGTGTGCGTGTGTGCGTGTGTGTGTGTGTGTGTGTGTGTGTGCGTGTGTGTGTGTGTGTGTGTGTGTGTGCGTGTGTGTGTGTGTGTGTGTGTGTGTGTGTGTGTGTGTGTGTGTGTGTGTGTGTGTGTGTGTGTGTGTGTGTGTGTGTGTGTGTGCGTGCGTGTGTGTGTGTGTGTGTGAAAGACACGGCGAGCTAAAGTCATCGTTCAAAGTTACACCCTTTCTCATATCAGAATTGTATCCCATATATTACAAACTTCTGAATTCGGTAATTCGAGTTCCGCTCCAAAATCGTCAGCACTCACTAGGAAAATGGCCACCCAGGCGAGCCCGATGTTGTCGAAGGATATGGTGCCCTGGAAAGGATTCTTGTCCCCCGGCCGGCAGTCGGTGTAGTATTGGTTCCAGTTGACACACGATTCATTGGTGGGTTCGTTGCTCTCGAACGGTTTCGCTGTGCCGTTGCAGTCCATACCTGGAGGAGGTGGTGGAGAGGGGAGGGGACGAAGAGTTTTATTTGAATGGTGGGGAAGAATAAGATGGGTTCTCTGGGTAGAGATTATTTATATTATCTTCATGGATTCAAGTTTTTTCTTTTTTTTTCTTGGCTGGATATAGGCCACTTATACTACTATTCTTGATGCAGATTAACCAGTGTCATCGATTCCGTTCCATCTCAACAGTTATTGTTAACGTTAATTCTCTTCCTATTTTTCACGGCATCACAAACCCACCTTCGTATTTCGTCGGCGGCAGATTCTGGCAGCGGTGCATGCCATTGTCCTTGGGCAGCGAACAAATGTAGTCCGGGTAGTAGGAGGCGATCGACCTGTCGGGCGAAAGAGACAATGAACTCGGCGCTGGCGAAGGAGCGAGTCGCCGTTCGCCTAATCCCCTGTTCGACGTCTAAGCCCGTCTGCACGGCGGCCCCGTGTCCTAATCCGTATTCAAGATGAACCATTCCAAGTAGAGATAAAATTAATGAGTACGTAAAAATCACCAGATAATAAAAAGCAATGCGTGCAGACGAGCCCAAACGACTGTAAACAAAGGACCTGCGAACGCGACCATCTTCCCCGCGGAACCTTTTCCAGCAACGAGAAGGGAAGGCTCTCTCGTGGCGGCATTTGTGACCGAGGAGGCTATTCATAAGGACACAAAAATTATGCAGTATATTATGTGTGTAATTGTATCATTCATGATTTATTGCAATCAGGGCATTATGGTGATTTGTTAATGTTCTCGCG